TTATATCATTTCAGACAAATGGCTGTCCAGTCTCTTCTTAAAAACTTCCAGTGTTGGAGCATTCACCGCTTCTGGAGGCGGCCAACCAGCTTGGATTGTCACTGAGCTCCATTTGCTATTATTTCACCCCCAAACCTTGGATCCCCCCCCCAAAGAAAACCCCTCTGTTTTACAGCCCCCCCTTGCTTCACCCCTGCTTCCAGTGACGGGACCCCCAACAATCCCACCCAGCCCCCCCCTCCCGTGCAAAGTTTTACAGCAGCTGTGGGGAGAGGGAGGCAGCGGGCTTCCAGGCAGGGAGGCTGCTGCAAGAAAGTTAATTAGGCTCTAATTACAGCTCTAATTAACTAAAATACTAATCACTCTGACAAATCATACATTAGTATCGGCAATTGCTTGCCGGATTAGCATAAGAATGCTTCTTTTGGCTTTATGGAGAGGGAAAAGGAGAGCAGGGCCATTAATAACCATCTGGGCCGGCCATTCACACAGCCCTCCTTTCATCCCGGCAAAAAAAGGCTCAGCAGAGGAGATTCTGTAGTTTAAAGGGTCCAGCTGGGTGGGGAGGGTCCGAGGGGGTGTGGGGGGGCAGCAAAACTGGGGTGAGGACAGAGCAGGACTCAGAGGGGAGCCCCAACGGTGCACGGGTGGAGGGAATCCAGAATCCAGGTGGTCTGCATTTCTTTTTCTAAACAACTTCCCCCCCACAATGAAGAAATCTAGCACAGAGGGGAGGAAATTCCTTTGCTGGGCGATGGGGATGCCTGCAGGGCTAGATTTCTGATTTAAGGGAATTGGCCTTTTCAGGTGGAAAAGAACAGGTGCCAACTTGAAAAAGAATGAGGCCGAATTTGGCTGAACCGGCTGCATCCACCTCAGTGAATACAGGCGGTCCTCGCCTTACGACCACAACCGAGCCCCCAAATTTCTGTTGCTAAGCAAGACACTTGTTCAGGGAGTTTTACCCCATTTTACGACCTTTCTAGCCACAACGGTTAAGTCAATCACTGCAGCTGTTAAGTTAGTAACACGGTGTCAACGCTGCTAATATTGTATATTCTTGCTTCGACTGTCTGGTGTTTTTAGAGTTAATGCAGAGCAGAGGAGGGGGGAGGGAAAAGCCCGTGAAAGGGAAAGGAAGGGAATCTTTGCCCTTCACACTAATTGGAGAAGGTAAAATCATGACAGCAAAATAGGGAGTGGAAATGCTAGCAAAAATAACTGCTCGGTGGGTGGGGATTTCAGATCCTAGCATTGCCTTTCATCATGCCTGTGCCGACATTTTGTCACATAAATAGACTTTTTAGGATAAAATGCCTGGAAGTTCTTTGAAGTGTTTCGTTAGTCGGAACCATGACACACGGTTGTTGAGTGGATCTGGCTTCCCCATCGAATTTGCTTGTCAGAAGGTCGCAAAAGGGGATCACATGAACCCAGGACGCTGCGACAGTCGTAAATGTGAGTCGGTTGCCAAGGGTTTGAATGTTGATCATTCATTGTGACTGTTTGGATTCCGCAACAGTCTGGCTGTGCTGGCTGTGGAATTCTGGGAGTGGAAGTCCACAAGTCTTAAAATGGGCAAGGTTGGACTGGAAGACCATCCGCATTCTCACACTCACCTGAGGATGTAGTTCACCCACACCATGTTCCTCTCGGAGGGATTCTTGACGTTGATCGAGATGGTGGCGCAGGACTGGACCCAGACGAAGCCCCCGCTCTTCTGCAGCCAGCGGTAATAGCGGGTGACCACCTGCCCCTTGTTTAACACTGAAGGGGGTGGAGAAAGAAGAGGGTCAATCTTGGCCAAGATTCATCGTAGCTACACGCTCGACCCAGACTGTGTAACTGCCAGGCGATTTCCTTACAGCCGAGGTTGCCTACCCCTGCTCTGGGGCAATCTAGCAAGGGGCCCCAGGATCCATAAATCCCAACCATCCATTGCGCCCTTCTTGGGGCCACGTACAGTCCAGGTGGCTTTGCTGGATCCCCTCCACGTCTTCTCCATGAATGAAGCGATAGCAACTCTTCCCAACGAGTTCTGAGGGACAGAAGTCCATGTAGTCGGTGATCCTGGAGGAGAGGAGAGGAAGGGGACAGCTGTGGACCAGAAACTTTGACTTTGGTTTGGGGTTGGGTTTAAAGGAGATACAGAGCCTGGTCAAAGTCTTGTAGATGGTCCGGAAGGGGAGTTGACCTGCACTCTCTTCTCCATGGGATGTCTAAGGAGGGACAGGAGTATCTGGCTTCTTGGAAAGGCAGGATACCTTCTTAGATCCTTGGGTCCACCAAGGGTAGGAGAGCTCACCTCAAGCCAATTGAGGTTCTCCAAGGTTTCTGTCCAATGTTGAGTATGTGGACAGGGAAGGATTTTAGAACCATAGAATTGGATTGGGAATCTTCACACCAGTCCAATCTTTGTTTGAGAACCTCTAGTGATGGAGCCCTCACAACTCCAGGAGACAGACGGTTCTTCTGCTTCCTAGCTTTTATGGTCAATGAGAAGCTGAATTTCTTCCCCTCCCTCTCCAAGTCAGTGAAGTTTACTTGATGATGGGCAGAGCACTCCCACAAAAGAGCAGGAAACGTGGTCATCAGATGTCACCCAACCTGGGCATCAGGGGTCACCCAAACTGGTCATCAGGGGTCACCAAATTTGATCATCAGGGATCACCAAACTTGGTCATCACCAAAGCTGGATTGTGGATTACAAAACATGGCTTAGTGGGCCAGTTCCAGTCTGGGCTGAGTCAGCCTGTTGTAGAAGTTGCAATTCACAGCTAGTGTCCATCCCCACATGTGACAATTTCTGTATCCACCATGTGCCCTGCTGGGCTTCCCTTTCACGTCTGGTTTTTAAGCTGCCCTGCAAGTGTCCAGCCCCCCCCCAATCACCAGGACAAGCCAGAGTCCAGCTGTCCCCTTCACCCACCTGCTCTCACAGTACACGATCTGTAGGTCCATGTTGACCCGGAAAACGAACATGTGACACTCAATGCGCACTTCGCTGAGGGTGGAGGGCGGCAGGGTGTGGGCCAGCGCTACAAGTCCCAGCACCCGGCCCAGCACTGAGTGGCCGTGGGGATGGGACGGTCGTCTGGAACGGAGGCAGCCCGTGACATGGATCACCTGGAGGGCAAAAGAGGGCCACAGAGTGGATCAGGGGCCACGGAGAGATGCCATATCCCAAAGGGGACCCTAAGTAGTCCTCAAATTACGACCAGTCATTTAACAACAGTTTGAAGTTAGGACAGCCTTGGAAAAAGCAACTTTTAACCTGTCCTCAAAGTTACAACCGTCACACCACCCCTGGTGTCACACGATCGCAATTTGGGCATTTGGCAACTGACTCGCTTTTACGTCTTACAATCACATGGTCCTGATTTGCGACTTTCCCAGCCAGCTTCTGACAAACAGGGTGAACTGAGGAAGCCGGATTTGTTTGCTGACCGTGAGACTCATTTAATGACCATGGTAAAAATGGTCATAAAATTGGGTTCAGTTACATGATGATTCATTTAGCGACTGCATTGCTTAGGAACTGAATTTCTGTTTGTAAGTCAAGGACTACCTGAGTGGAACCGAGGAGGCCCCCCGGGAACAACGATGGTTTTTAGAAGAGGTCCCATTTCTCCCGGCCGGAAGTGGGACGGAGGACCTGAGACCCTCTTCCTGCCAAGATGGCCCCCTCCTCATTCTCGAAATTCTGGCAGAAATTCTGGCTACTCAAGTCCTTCATCAAATGAGAGACTGGTCAAGAGCAGGGGTCTCCAACCGTGGCCACTTTAGGCCTTGTGGACTTCAATTCCCAGAATTCCCCACCCAGAGCAGAGTTTCTCAAGCTTGGAAATTTAAAAAGATGGGGAATTCTGGGAAATGGAGTCCACTCATTTTCCAGTTCAACAGCATGCTGGCCAAGGAATTCTGGGAGATGTAGTCCACACATCATAAATGTTTGCTAGCATGCTGATTGAAGAATTCTGGGAGTTGTAGTCCACAAGTCCTAAAGTCGCCAAGTTTGGGGACCCCGGTCAAGAGCAAAGATGAGCCAATCTCGCATTCGTCTCCTGCACCTACTGCTGGGAGGGGGGCACTCATGCAGACCCCAAAAGCTTGCCTCCTTTTGAACAGTTCTGTTTTCAAATGTCACCTCTGTCAGATCAAGCCTTTCCTGCTTGACTTTGATGACCTGCTTCTCCTTTTATTTATTTATTTATTTATTTATTTATTTAATTACATTTATATCCCGCCCTTCTCCTTGCGGACTCAGGGCGGCTGACAATAGATAAAATGCTAACATGTTATACATCTAATTAAAAATCGATTAAAAAGAAATATTTAAATACGTCCAATTTAAAAGTAATTAAAACCCCTTTAAAATCCCTTGTCCTGTTCCCACGTTCCCCCCACTCCGGACCCCAAGTCTGTGTGGGAGCGCCCATTATACCTTATAGCCCGAAGTCTTGATGTGAAGTCCTCTCTTGGTCAAAGTGGACTTCAGACGGATGAAGAAGGAACGCTCCGGGGCTCCATCGCCTTCGGCTGTGCGGGAACTAGAAAGATCTAAAGATAGATAGATAGATAGATAGATTAGATAGATAGATGATAGATAGATAGATAGATAGATGATAGATAGATAGATAGATAGATAGATAGATAGATAGATAGATAGATAGATAGATAGATAGATAGATAACCTTTATTGTCATTTTTTACTGTGAGCACAATGGCACACATTAAAAATGAAATTTAGTTGCTGGCTCTCAAAGTGTACACATACATAACGCCCATTTAAACATACTGTACACAACACATGCATAGACCTACTACACCCTTACATATAAGTACCATATAAACATTAATCACTGCCATCTTGAATACATAACGGAAGGAGGAAGCTTGAGAGTGCACAAGGTTAATACTGCATGGAACAAAACTGTGGCTGAGTCTGGATGTTCTGCTTCGGATACCCCGAAGCCCCCTCCCCCCAGAAGGTAACAAAAAGCACAAGTGGGTGGGTGTGTGAGAGCATCACGGTTTCTGTGTGTGCCACAAGTGTCCCCAGGGAGAAAAGAAGGACTGAATTCGTTCACTCAAAGCCTCAACAGAATCCCATAATGGGCACAATATTCATATCCCTGGATCTACCGTGGACAGAGGACATCTGAATGGGTCTTTTCCTTGCGGCCCCATCGACGCTTCCAGGCCAAGGGGGGCAAGTCTACCCGATTCAGGCCAAGGGAGCGAGGCATGGGGGACCCTCAGCCAAACCCCGGACGGACGTCTCCCTCTTCGGAGGACTCGCTCTTGACAGCCAGCTGATCTGGCATTCTCTTTCAGTTGCCATCTTGGCATCAATCTTTAACAAGTTCCCCGGATGAAAGCGAAGCCGGCAACCATCCAGGGCAGGAGAGGGGGAGACCCCAGGGACTGCCTCTTCCTCCCTGCCTGTTGGGGGGGGAGAAAGGGGGCAGAAGAAGGGGAGGTGAAGCTGAGACCCCCTCCCCAGGCCCAGGTACAATGAAAGGTCAGATCGGGGACGGAGAGGGGCTCAGCGCCTCACCCCAGGGAGCACCCCAACTCCTCATCAGACCACCGCGAAGAAGCCCACTCTGGATGAAGGGTGCGTAGGGCCCATCAGAAGATGCGGCCGATCAAGCCATGATTTATTCAAGCCGAGTTTTAACGAAGCTGCTGCTGGCTGGGTTCAGGCATACGGGGGGGGGAGTTTCCTCATCTTACAACTGTCCATTTAGTGACCGTTCAAAGTTACAACGGCACTGAAAAAAAGGGACTGAGGACCAGTTTTCATACTTATGACCGTTGCAGCATCCCCAGGGTCACATGATCAGAATTCGGACACTTGGCAACTGACTCGTATTTATGACGGTCACCGTGTCCTGGGATCACGTGATCCCCTTTTGCGACCTTCTGACAAGCAAAGTCAATGGGGAAGGCAGATTCATTTTACAACCGTGTTACTAACTTAGCAACTGCGGTGATTCACTTATCAACGGAGGCAAGAAAAGTCGTAAAATGGGGCTAAGTTCACTTAATACATGACTCACTTAGCCACATAAATTTGGGGCTCAATCGTGGTCGTAAGTCCAGGTGATAAACCCAACAAACCACGTCCTGGGGTCTGGCATATGATGGCTTGTGGGAGTTCTGTTAAGCAAGATCCAGACCAGACCAAAGGTAACAGGGCACCTCTGAGCATGTGCTAAGTGTTTCCTGACTCAACAGATGGCCAAATGACCTCCAAGCCTGCTTGAGCAACTGGGGGCTTCCCAGTTCTGGGGGGGGGAGTGTAACAGAGAGGCTGTACCTGATTGAGGACCCTCAGAGGAGGCGGAGGAGTCCAGGAGAGAGGCTTTGGGGTGGGCGGGGTGACCAGGGCCCAGGGGAGCCTTCAGCCCCAGCTGCTCGGCCACTTCGTGGTGGTCCCCCGGGTGGACGTAGTCAAAGATGCTGCTGCCGGTCAGCTCTACCTGGAAGAGCAAGGACAGGTTCAAAGGTCAAGGGGGGACGGTCACCAGGCCTTCAACTGCTCTGCAGTCCACCCAGTCCCACAATCCCCCTCGTCTCCCTGATCTCAGGAGGTCCCATTTTGCTCCTTTCTTCCCTGGGGGTGCATGGATGCCTCTGCAGGAACGCCCCCCCCCCCCATTTCTCTGTCTTCTGCTCCCAGGCTACTCCACTCCCTTGGCGACACCCCCAGAGTTCCTCAAAGAAGTCACATTAAAAGTTAGCACCGAAGGGGGGTGACCTCCCAACCCACCCCCTGCTTTGAGACCCTGCCCGAATCCTGATGCAGACCCCTTGCCCGCTTCCAAGACCAAGGGTCAGCGCCGCGGGTTAACGTTCCCTGCATTGTAATGCAGCCAGGGCCAAGAGATCGATAAATAATAATGCAGAGCTATTGGCTTCCCCCAGTGAGAGTCGCGTGCATTCAAAGGAGCTAGTCCTCATTAAACATGCACCAGCCACTCCTCGGCTAGGAGAAGTGAGAAAACCGGAGAAAGGGAGGAGGGATGGATGGGGGAGCAGCCGAGGGGGGAGGAGGGGGGGTCTCTTTCTTGGTGGGGAGAGCTGACATGGCTGCTTCTAACAGCTGGCAGGGTTTTCAACGCTTCGTGCCCAGCTTCCATTGTGAGGTGGACAAACACATCTGGGGGAGGGAGGCCACTTGGCACAGCGCCTGGCACTGCATCGGCCTTCCAGCTCGCACAGATCCAAGTGCGAAAAGCCGCGGGCGCAACCGTGAGCGAGAGCAGCCCTCTGAGTGAGCCAAAAAAAAAAAAAAAAAAAGAGGCCGCTGGAAAAAGCAGCAGTGGGGCAAGAGGAATTATTTATATGTATTGATATAAATATATTTATACATTTGTTTACTTGGTTTCTGTAGCTGTTGGTTTCAGGAAATCTCTGGGCAGCTCACCATTCAAAACACACAAAGGTAGTTCTTGACTTATGACCTCAAGAGAGCCCCAAATTTTCTTGCTAAACGAGACACTCGGTAAGAGAGTGTTGCCTCGTTTTACAACCTTTCCAGCCGTAGCTGTTAAATGAATCACTGCAGTTATTAAGCGAGTCACACGGACGTGAAGTGAACCCGGCTCCCCCTCTCTCTTTGTTCCCCGGAAGGTCGCCCAAGGGGATCACGTGACCCCGGGACGCTGCAACCGTCATAAGGACGAGTCAGTTTGCCAAGCATCCGAATTTTGCTCACGTGACCCTGGGGAGGCTGCAATGGTCGTTAAGCGTGAAAAACGGTCCTAAGTCGCTTTTTGTCACTTCGGTCACTAAACGAATGATTGTCGAGTCGAGGACTTCCTGTATTACAATTAAAATTTTTAAAAACGTAACACGATGAAAAGGAAGCCCGAAGAAAAGGGAGCTGGCGCAAGGGACGTCTCCGGAGCGCCTGGTGAGGTGGCCGCGAAGGAGCGGAAGTGCCCGCCTGCCAGGTGGCCGGGCTCCAGCCTCGCATTGTCAGGTTGCTGGGCAGCCAGTAAGACATTCATTGGAGAATGCCCCTTTTCTCCCCGACCTTAAGCTGTGCCTGCTTCTCCTGCACCCTCCCAACTGCCCCTACACACACACACACACACACACACAAACCAGGCGCTTCCGGTCTTCCTCCCGGGGCAAGGCGCAGCGTCAAAGGCTGCCATCCCCGTGCCGGAGGTTTGCTCCGGGTCTGCAATCCACAGTGGGCAAGCAGTTGGAAGGGCCGGTGTGGGCACTCACCCTGGGGCTCCGGGAATGGTGGCCGGCCCAGGCTGAGCCGGGCCGGGCACCGGTGCCCTCCCTCCCCTCCCTTGATTGCCAGGTGCCGAGAGATGAGGTGGGCGGCAGATAAATTTAACAAGTAAATCAAGAAAAAAAAAACAGAACCGAATAGAAGGGTTAGGGTTGAAGAGATCGGTAGTCCCCAACTTACAACGGTTTGTTTAGCGACCGAAGTTACAACAGTACCAGAAAAAGGGACGTATGACAATTTTTCACACACCGACGACTGTTGCCGCATTTCCATGGTGACGGGATCAAAATTCAGATGCTTGGCAAGTGACTCGTACTTATGGCCGGGTTTTCTTGCGTGTCCAGAAACGGCCCCCTCCCCCAGCCAGCCCTGGGAGGACGGCACGAATTCGGATGACCCTCGGCCAGAGACGGCTTATCCTCCAGACATCCTTCCCGTGACTCACCCGCTGTTCTGGCCACCTCCTTAGCAGGTGCCCCACATACTCTGCCAGGTGCCCCCTGGAAGGAGACAGCTGCCACTCACACGTCAGGCGCCATATCAGGGCCCGGGGGTGGGGGTGGGGCAGGCAGGCAGCTCAGCTTCTGAAAATGTCCTTTCCCCCCCCTCCCCGTCCTCCGTTTCATCCCCCTCTAATTGCTTAAGGCAAGTGGGCGAGATGAAAGCCCCCCCGCCCCGGCCGGGTCTCCCCGTAGACAGAGACGCTGGCTGGCACGGGTGATATTCACATTCCAGCATCATCGGCCCCGGTCTCGCCTGCTTCTCAAGGTGAAAAGAAGAGAAAACAACAAAAAGAAGGGAAAGAAAAGAAGATGGTGGTAGATTGGAAGGGCAGCTAGGTGGCTTGTTCCCCCCAAAAAGTGAGGAGGGGGTTTCCAGTAGGGTCTTTTGGGACCCACAGGTGTTATTCAACGGCTGAAACAGCAGCTCGCAAAAACCTTTTGCCTTTGAGTAAAAAAATGCCACCTGCAAAAGATGTAGCAACGTTCCTGATTTGTGATCCCTGCAGACTAACACAGCTTTCCTCCTAAAAAAATGTCTTCAGCACAGCGGAACTGTGTAGGGTCCACCGTGTTGCTAGCTTAACAACCGCAGTGATTCGCTTAACAACCGTGGCGAGAAAGGTCGTAAAATGAGGCAAAACTCACCTAACAAATCTCTCACACAGCAACAGAAATTTGGGGCTCAATTGTGGTCGTTAAGTCGAGGACCACCCGTAGTAGGAACGGCACCACAGATAGCCCAAGTTACAACCATCCATTCAACAGCCGTCTGAAGTTACAACAGCCTTGAAAAAAAGGACTTACAACTCAAACACAAGCGAAAAAGAAATGGGGGGGGGGAAACTGAGGAGGGGGACAATGCTCCCTTCCCAGAATTTGGATCTAAAGCAAATCTGGAATTAAAATCTGAAAGCCACCTCGGAGGGTTATTGACGGGCGAGAGCGACCGACCGGCTCACAAATGGTTACAGACGCCGTCCTTTTTCAACTGCTGGCGCACCGGGGCTAATTTGCAAGGCAGATTTTTTTTTTCTTTGCGGAGGGGATGTTTCTCCTGCGTGTTGAGCACTTCCATAATTCCCCCCCCCCATCTTTCTTCTTCAAATTCTCCCACAAGAAAACGGGGGGCGCGATAAACCTTAGCAAATGTCTCTCTGCCACGGCGATCAATCAATTCCTGCTCGGAAGGAACCGGCTGATCATCGATCATCAATTATCAGACGATGCCGCCTGTCTGGCGTCATTTCCAGGGGAGATAATTGCTGCGGCTCATTATGTATGTGGCGGAGCGGCTGGCGCGCCGAAAAACCAGACGGCGGATGTTCTGGCCGCTCAGCAGGTGAGACCAAAGAGGACACGGAGGGCGTCAAAAGGGCGACTGGGCACGCCGGAGCGTTTGCCGGGAACGCTTCCGGAACGACCAAGTTAAAACCCGCATCCTGCAGCACTCGAAACGTTCCTACGGGTAGTCCTCGACTTACAATTGTTTGTTTGACAATGGTTCAAAGTTACGACGGCCTTGGAGAAAGTGATTTAGGACAGGGGTCCCCAACACCTGGGCCGTGGACCGGTACTACTACTACTACTACTAATAATAATAATAGTAAAGTTGGAAGGGACCTTGAAGGTCATCTAGTCCAACCCCCTGCTCAGGCAGGAAACCCTACACCATTTCGGACAAATGGCTGTCCAGTCTCTTCTTAAAAACTTCCAGTGTTGGAGTATTCACCGCTTCTGGAGGCAGGTTGTTCCACTGGTTAATTGTTCTCACTGTCAGGAAGTTTCTCCTTAGTTCTAGGTTGCTTCTCTCCTTGATTAGTTTCCACCCGTTGCTTCTTGTCCTGCCTTCAGGCGCTTTGGAAAATAGCTTGACTCCCTCTTCTTTATGGCAACCCCTGAGATACTGGAAGACTGCTATCATGTCCCCCCTCGTCCTTCTCTTCATTAAACTAGACATACCCAATTCCAGCAGCCTTTCCTTATATGCTTTAGCCTCCAGTCCCCTAATCATCTTTGTTGCTCTTCTCTGCACTCTTTCTAGAGTCTCAACATCTTTTTTACATTGCGGTGACCAAAACTGGATGCAGTATTCCAAGTGTGGCCTTACCAAGGCATTGTAAAGTGGTATTAACACTTCACGTGATCTTGATTCTATCCCTCTGTTAATGCAGCCTAGCACTGTTGTTGGCCTTTTTGGCAGCTGCAGCACACTGCTGGCTCATATTTAGGTGATTGTCCACTAGGACTCCGAGGTCCCTCTCACAGTTACTACTATTGAGCAAGATGCTCAATAGTAGTAACTAGGTTGTGGCATGCCAGCAACCGGTCCGCACAAACAAGCAAAGCCCCATCCGTGGGATGCAGGCAGCACACAAAACCACGCACCCTCCGGTCAGTGGAAAAACCTCTCCCCACGGAATCGGTGGTCCCTGGTGCCCAAAAGGTTGGGGACCTCTGGTTTAGGACCTGTAGTTGGAGGCAACACCTACCTGTGACAGGCCCAGGTAAATAGACACCGTCTCGGAGATGTAAAGGAATTTTCCCTCTTGATTCAGTGCAAACACGAAGCCATCCAGGGACTGTGGAGCAAAGGAACACAATTCAACTGGGGTTGTGTGTAGGCACAAAAAACCGGTCTTGCTGGCAAGGCAGTTCCTTCCTTTTCCCCAGCAGAGAGAAAAGTCACATAATTTAAGGGGAAATCTGCAACATTTTAATTTAGAAACGTTCAGATGATTTGGCCCCAACGGACCGGAGACGCTTCCCAAACCGAAGCGCCGAAATCCATCTCCAGCAATGCAGAAAAGGCCATGCAAGCAGTCCTCAGTTTACGACTGGTTGCTTGGAGACCAGAAGGATTAAAGAACCGGATTGGGACTAAATTGAAATGCTTTGGAAATGCTCTTTGCCTCTCTTCCAAGTAGCAGGAAGAAACACAGTTCCTGAACCTCTTGTTTGTTTGTTTGTTTGTTTGTTTGTTTGTTTGTTTGTGAACAGCAGAGTTAAGTTTGCCATAGAAAGTCCCTTTGCCTTGTCATCCCCGCCGATGACAAGCCCCATCTGGATTCTTTGAGAGGAAAGGGCCCTTGCAAACATCTGGAAACTGATGCACAATACTGTTCCCTAGCTGGGTCACGAAACATCTGCAAGGAAACCAGCATTAACCCTGGGACACGTATATCCGCCTTTATTTATGGCTGTTACAGCCTTGTTACACTTCTAAGTCTTCTTTTTTTGTTGCTTTTCTTTTTTTCCTAACTTTTTCCCATGACTCTGTTTGATCCGTTCGAGAAAGTCAATAAAGCTATATTAAAAAAAAAAAGGTAAGTGATTTCTTGGGGATCCTCCAGACGGGAAGCTCCAGAGAAGCTGCAAAGGGAGAAGGGATGGTTGGGGGGGGGGGGGTGCAGAATAATCAAACAAACACCCCCCCCCTTCCAAATTGTTCCGGAAAGCAGGAAATTGCTCTCTTGGGCGCCCCAGGAAGAAGCCAGAAACGGCCCTTTGAATTTAACCATGGCAACTCATCCCCCACGCCAGGAAATTTGGCTTCTTAATCAACCCTCCGAAGCAGAGCCATGACCCTCCAAAGGCAAAGCCCCCCCCCCCGTCCCTCTTTTCAAGGTATTTTGGGGAAGTTACAAAATCAGCCCCAAAGCAGGAAAGATGAACATCTTGAACTCGGACCCCAAAGTTTTTCCAAGTTTGGAGACAAACCCCTCCGGGCACAAAGAAGAGTCTTGGCTCTGAAGGGTCACCAATAAGGGCACCTCCGTCCTTGCACAAGCGGAGGCTGTGAATCAAGACAGCTGGGCACGAAGCTAGAGGGCGCTGCTAATGAATTGCCCTGGGATCTGGGTTCAAATCTTCAGAGAGATGGAAGGAGGGTTTTTTTTTCCTACCAGTCACTTGGTTGGGAAAATAATCTTGCAGGGGACCTTTAATGCAATGAAATTAATTTCTGTCAGTCCATCTGTCTGTCTATCTATCTATCTATCTGTCTGTCTGTCTGTCTGTCTGTCTGTCTGTCTGTCTGTCTGTCTGTCTATCATCTATGTATCTATATCATCTCTCTCTCTATCATCTTTATCACCTATCTATCTGTCTATCATCTATTTATCTCTATCAACTATCTATCTCTATCATCTCTCTCTCTCTCTATCCTATCTATCTATCCTATTTCTATGTCTTTTTCACTGTCTCTATTTGTATCTATATCTTATCTATCCTATTTGTGTGTCTGTTTATCTATCATTTATCATTTATCTATCATACATCTCTCATCTCTCAATCCTATTTCTGTCTGTCTATCTGACCGTCTGTCTCTGTGTCCGTCCGTCCGTCCGTCCGTCCGTCCATCCATCCATCTATGTATCTATCTCGATCATCTCTCTTTATCATCTTTATCACCTATCTATCTCTATCTGTCTATCATCTCTCTCTCTCTCTCTCTCTCTCTCATTTCCTTAATTCTTTTTACAGATAACCCAAGGCAGCAAACATATCCAACACACCTTCCACCACCTAGTTTACCCACCAAAACAACCCTGTGAGGTGGGCTGGGCTGTAAGATCACCCCTCCGCTTTTCCTGCCTGTGGCAGGACTTGAACTCAACATCTCCCATATTCTAGCCTGGTACCTTAACCAGACCAAGCCTCCTTCTGCTTGCTCATCTCCAGTCAATCTCGGTGGGGCCGTCCCCAATCCCCTCCTAATAAAAGGGGGGGGGGAAGCCTGGGGATCCCCCCCCTTTTCCGTCCTCCTCAACAGCCCAGGGAGACATGCCCGTCCTCGGGTGTCAACCGTTTAATTGCTGCGCCAATGACCTCTGAGCATACTTGATGACTGGGGGGGGGGGAAAGCAATTTTATCTGTCAGCAGTAATTAACACGTCTGAACATTAACCCGACTGTCGGTGCCTTTAATTCCCCGCAGTTCCTCTCCCACGGCTCCACTGCAAAAGTGCCAAAGCATTTCCTCAGTGTCACCTGTTGCGCGGGATCCTCACCTTGCGCAGAGGCCGGGCGGTGGGTGACGAAGCGAAGGACCCCCCACCTCCCCTCGTGGCCTTGCTGGAGGGGCAGATTTCCATCGAACCTGCTTTCGAAGTCCGGCAGATAAAAGTTCTTTCCGTGACCTCTGCAGAAAGTGCCCGGTTTCTTTTTAAGCGACAGAGAATTGGCAGACCCCAAAGCCATGTCTCACCGCACAAAAACAAATGGGGTAGGCAACCTTGGCTCTTTTATGACTGGTGGACTTCAACTCCCAGAATTCCTGAGCCAGCCATGCTGAGGGGAAAGGGAGAGGATTCCAAGCTGAGCCAGGCTGGCTCAGGAATTCTGGGAGTTGAAGTCCACGAGTCATGAGGGGGCCGTAGTTCCCCCATGCTGGCTCAGGAATTCTGGGAGTTGAAGTCCACGAGTCATGAGGGGGCCATAGTTCCCCCATGCTGGCTCAGGAATTCTGGGAGTCAATCAATCAATCTATTTATTACAGCTGTAAGGCCAGACATATTCTAGGAGTTGAAGTCCACGAGTCATGAGGGGGCCATAGTTCCCCCATGCTGGCTCAGGAATTCTGGGAGTTGAAGTCCACGAGTCATAAAAGAGCCAAGGTTGACTACCCCTGTAGGTAAGACCTCCACTTACAGCCGTTTGCTTACTGACCGTTCCAAATTACAGCGGCACTGAAAAAAAGGGACTTATGTTTTTCCACACTTACGACCGTCGCAGCATCCCCGTGGTCACGCGACCCAAATTCAGGCGCTGGGCAACTGACTCGTATTTATGACAGTCGCAGTGTCCCGGGATCACGTGATCCCCTTTTACGACCTTCGGGCAAAGCAAAGTCAAAGGGGGGACAGCCAGATTTGCTTAACGACCGTGTTACTGACTGAACAACTGTGGTGATCTGCTTAACAAGACATGTGGCAAGGACAGTCGTAAAATGAGACAATGAGACTTCATTGTCTCACTTATCAACGGAAATTTAGAGCTCAGTTGAGGACGGCCTGTATGTCTCTTGTAGGCCGGGGTCCTCATTTCAACCCTGAGCTATAAATATTCTCCTTTCCTGGGGTGGGAATTATGGGGCTGGCAAACTCCCCCCCACCCAGCCCAGGATCCAACAGAAAAAGCAGTGGTGCAAAGAGAAGCCCCAGCAGCTTCCAGCACCTCTGTAACAATTGGGGAGGGGTCTTCTGCCTTTGGTGGGAAGAGAAAGCAAAAGTTGCCTGCCCGCCATCTGTTCCCCAGTCTTCCCACACACCCAGGGCCAAATCGAATTGCTTCCCAATAAATCTGCATTAGCTCTCGAAAAGGGGCTGGCGGAGGCGGCCGGCGGCACCGGGGAGCCAGGGAAGAAATCTATTTCAGAAGGGACCCCCCACCTGGCCGAGCTGCCAAACCAGGTTAAGGCCTCGGTTTCCCTCTGTGCCGAGGCTGGAGCAAAGCCCCTAACTCAATTGGTCCCCTCGCCTGCCACCCCTTCCTGGGTCTCTGTACCTGCATCGACCGCGGGCTAATTAAGTTCCCTTCAAAGGAGGGAGGGAGGGAGGGGTTCCCCCCACCCCCAAACCCAGCCTGGCTGAGCCAGCCGAGCCCAGAGCCATTTCCTGAAGGCAGAATTTCTGGGTCTCGAGGGAGAAGGTGGTGGGGGGCTTGGGGGTCTGGGGGGACCCGTGGCCAGCCTCAGTTGCCCATCGGAGGGGGAAACTGAGTTGGAGAGTGGCGGGAACCAGGAAATAAGGCCTCGGAGCCGCTCCTTTGTGTTCCTGTGCTGCCTTCACAATTTGCACACTTGATGCGCACAGAGGCAGAGGTGTGGAGACTCGCATTCCTGTCTAGAGTTAACTGGAGATTTATTGATTGATTCGGTTTGCACAGTCCTCAAGTTATGACTGGTTGCTTAAAGATGGTTCAAACTTATGACAGAGGGAGGGAGGGAGGGAGGGAGGGAGGGAGGGAAGGAAGGAAGGAAGGAAGGAAGGAAGGAAGGAAGGAAGGAAGGAAGGAAGGAAGGAAGGATTCAGACAGAGAGAGAGGGAGGAAGGAACCTATCCTGGCACCTTGGTGAACCCAGCCTGGAAGACACAAGGCGGACTTACCTGCAGGATGTGGCCCCCTAAGTGCTTTTCAAAGAGCTCCGTCAGCAGCGCGTTCATATTTCTCCGACCAGAAGCTGGAGAGAAACCAAGATCTCAGCGTCAGCAAGGAGGATCCAGTGTGGCCACCCTCCCGGTCAGCTTCTTGGGGTCATGAAGCCTGAGAGATCCCTTGCTATGGGCCGGATCAGGCTAGGAGGAATCAACGCTCCTGTGATATCTGCTCGCTCATTCATTCATTCGTTCAATTTATATGCCTACTCTGCTTTTCTTCTCCAAGTTAGCCCTCAGATTCCAAACCTCAGCTCAGAGTTGGCGGATCTTAAACAACAGATCACAGATTCCCCACCCAGATGAGATCCAGGATCTGGAACTAGATCTAGAGTAGATATAAATATACAGATAGATAGATTGATAAGATAGATAGACAGACAGACAGACAGATAGATAAGATAGACACAGATAGATACAGATAGATACAGATAGATAGATGATATACTGTATTATAGATAAAATGGCAATAGATTAGAGAAGACAGAGAAGATTAGATAGATATAGATATATATAGATAAATACTGTATACAGATAGATAGATAGATAGATAGATAGATAGATAGATAGATAGATAGATATAAAGAGATAGAGATAGATGATAGATTATATATAAGATAGTGATAGATTAGATAAGATAGAGAAGATTGGATAGAGATGATAGATAGATAGATAGATAGATAGATAGATAGATAGATAGATAGATAGATAGATAGATAGATAGATAGATAGATAGATAGATAGATATAAAGAGGAGAGAGGGGGAGGGAGATATAGATAGATAGATAGATAGATAGATAGATAGATAGATAGATAGATAGATAGATAGATAGATAGATAGATAGATAGATAGATAGATAGATAGATAGATAGATAGATAGATAGATATAAAGAGGAGAGAGGGGGAGGGAGATATAGATAGATAGATAGATAGATAGATAGATAGATAGATAGATAGATAGATAGATAGATAGATAGATAGATAGATGTGGGTTAATTTGATCCAGGAATATCTAGAGAAGGAACGAATAAGCAGGGCTTTTGGCTGGTGTCTGCGAAGGAGGGTCTCTGGCCAGGACCCTTACCTAGGATGGGGGGGAGAGGTGAAGGAAAGCACTAAATTTGGGGGAAGCCAAGGATAGAGCAGGAGGGGGAAGGGAGGGGGGAGGACAGGACATGCCATTGTGTCCTGCGCATTCCTGCCAGACGAGAGGCGAATACTTATCAGCCCAGCATTCATGAGACCCCCATCAAGCTGAAAAGCTCCACAGCCCCTAAACTAACCTTTCCTGCAGCCTCACCGTCCCCCCCCCACAACTGGTTGGGGGCCAAGCAGGGGAAGGAAGGTGGGCTCAAAGGGACCCACACGTGTGCGGAATGCCAAACAGGGCGCATTCTTTGATCCACAGTGGAATCCGGAGCATTTTCCTGATGACATCTCCGATTTTTCTATGGCACAACCGCCTGTTCAGAAGTTCCAAAGAGTTTGCGGGCTGTTTTGTTTCTTATTTATTTGTGCGTTCGTTTACTGGTAATTTGTTTTTAGGTGGTTGAGCCCACACTTGGAATCCTGCGTCCAGCTTTGGTCGCCACGCGACAGAAAAGAAGTTAAGACTCTGGAGAAAGTGCAGAGAAGAGCAACCAAGATGATCAAGCAGGGGTGTCCAAGCTTGGCCATTTTAAGACTTGTGGACTTCAACTCCCAAGCTTGGACACTCCTGTGATTAAAGTGGCTGGAAGCTAAACCATACAATGAATAATTGAGGGAACTGGGAATGGTCTCATAAAGATAAGAACTAGGGGGGGACATGATAGCATCCTGCAGTATTTGAGGGGCTGTCCCAGAAAAAAGGGGGTCCACCTATTCTCCAAAGCGGACAAGAAGCAACGGATGGAAACTAACCCAAGGAGAAAAACAACCTAGAACTTATCTAAGGAGAAATTTCCTGACAGTCGAAAGAATGAATAGATGGAACGGCTTCCCTCTTAACAACTGCAGTGGTTCATTTAACAACGGTGGACAGAAAGGGCGTAAAAATGGGGCTCACTTCCCAAAAGTTTCCCCAAACTCACTTCCCAACTGTCTCGCTTAGCAATGGAAGTTTTGGGCTGAATCGGGGGTTGTAAGTCAAGGACAACCTGTAGGTAGAAGCTAACCCCAAAGTTCACTTTAGACATGGGGTGGAAACAGCCCCCGTCTTTTGGGGCAACTGGTTTTCCAAGGGGAAAAAAACAAAAAAATAAATAAAAATCATATTTTTGTCTCTTCCCCCCCCCCCCCTCTCTCTCTCTCTTTCTGTCTTTTTAAATCACTGTGGCAGCTTCGGAGATGCCATTTCAGAACAGTTATCTGTACGAATTTACTTGTAACTAACAAACAGAGACCCACTTGACAGACAATCGGGAACAATACCAGCCCCGCTAATTGCTGCAATTTCCTCTGTCATTTTCTTTAATTCCTTCATTTTTCCTCTCTGGAAATAACCCCACAGGTCAGACAGAATGCTCCTATAATTAAAAGCATTTAATGCAAGAATTAGAAAGCTGCTCACATTATGGGGAACGGGGCAGAAGCTGGGGGGGGGCATATTGTTAATCCCCCCACCCCAGCCTCTTTTCAAGTTTGCAATTTGCCAGCTTTTTAAACAGTTTTTTCAACAAAAAGAAAGAAAAGAAAGAAAAGAAAGAGAGAGAGAGACAGGGGAAAAAATAAATTGAAAAAAAAAAAGGTTTCCCCCCCTTCCTGTTCCCCCCCCCCAACTGAAGAAGCCCACGGCGTTCCTGAAAAGGCAAAATGGCAGGAAAATGGGGAAACGAAACCCCTGGAATGTCAACCCTGCCTGATGACGTCATCTGGCAAAGGTTGCAGATCTGCGTGATGTCATCGGGATACGTGGGACTTGTGATGAGGGGGGGGATGTCAACACCTGCCATTATGATTGGCAGGCAGAGCAAATGAATTTGCCCCGTCCATAAAATGCAACTTTGATCCCTATTGTAACAAGACACAAAACGCAACAGGAGATTCTCCTGAGAGTGGGTGGGCTTTATTTCAAATCAAGGGTCTCCAAAGTGGTCCACTTTAAGACTTGTGGACTTCAACTCCTAGAATTCTTCAGTCAGTACGCTAGCAAAAATTTCTGACGTGTGGACTACATCTCACAGAGCTAGCTGGGGAATTCTGGGAGTTGAAGTCCACAACTCTTCAAGTGGCCAGGTTTGGCAACTATAAATTTAAATAATTATAAGCAAAGAATGAGAAAACACCTTCCACTGAAGAAGGATGTTTTTTTCTCCTAAGACAGGGGTAGACCACCTTGGCTCTTTTATGACTCGTGGCCTTCCACTCCCAGAATTCCTGAGCCAGCCATGCTGAGGGGAAAGGGAGACGTTTCCAAGCTGAGCCAGGCTAGCTCAGGAATTCTGGGAGTTGGAGTCCACGAGTCATAAAAGAGCCAAGGTTGACCACCCCTGGTCTAGAGGCTGAATGCTGGACCCTGTACAAAAGGCTGCGCCATGAAGATACATTTGAACCCCTGGGGCTCCCTACTCCAACGGAGGGTCCAGGCCCCTCACCCCCAACCCCCAAGGGGAAGAAGCATTCAGAGGGTTAACGTCAAAATCCAGTGAGATTATCCAAGCTGTGACACGGCGCGCGGCCGGCTCGGCGTAATCACCGAATTCTTTCCCCCAAGCGCGTAATTATATGGGAGAATAAAGCCGCCAGCAGCACCGTGGATGATGGGCCCACAGCTGCAGCCCTTTCTTCCCAGCCAGGCTGTAGCGGAGGGAGCTGCAGCTGAGAGGCAAAAGAGCAAGGTTGGTGGAGTTTACGGGAATCACAGAGTGGGAAGGGACCGTGGAGGTCTTCTAGTCCAACCCCCTGCCCAAGCAGGAGACGGGAAAAGGGACGGAGGTGGGGAGAAGAGAGCAGGATCATGTCATTCCCTCCCGGAGATCCTACCTATGGTTTTGGAGGTCATAGGGCCTCTGCTGGCTACTCAGAAGCCGAGGGTTGCATTCATCGTAAACCTTGCAACCCTCTTTAAGAGAACTGTAGTGGAATGTGGTCTGGATTCCCAGGAGGGAAGGGCTGCTTACCGGAGGGCAAAATGGCAGCAGAGCTCGGAATGGCTGGTAGGGAGGAAGAGGGTCCAATGGCCCCTCCCTAGCAGTTTCCAGGATATATCTATAGTTATACAAATAGTTTCTTTAGGGTCACAGTGCTCTTGGAGCTGGGTGGTTTTCTTGCAGACATTTTATAACCCAACTAAGTTACATCAACATTGCTAGGAAGGAGTGGGGTTTGTGAAGAGGAGGAGGAGGAGGATGAAGGGGGGAGGAGGAGGAGGAGGAGGAGGTTGACTGTGGGGTCCTTGGTGATCTCTGAGCTTGGTGGTTTCCTTGCAGATGTTTCATTACCAAACTAGGTAACATCATCAGTTCTAGGTGGGAAAGGAAGTGAAGGAGAGGAGAAAGAGGAAAATGTGGCACAGTGTGGCACGGTGGGTTCCCAGCTTGGCAGTCAGGCCATCGATGCCATGGGGCATGGATGAACAGCCTGCTTTTCACACAGTCCTTACACTGATGTTTGTTTCGTTCCACGCTTCGCGCCGCCCAGCCAGTCCTTCAGCCTCCTCTGCCTGTTCCACCTTGCCTTCCTTCACCCAGACGTGTCCTGCTGCCGGCTCCGGGTGCGAGAGACATCGCACACCCTGCCCATAACAAGCAAGCTGCATCAATCAGGCTAAGTGGCTGGCCTGGACGGGAGCCAAGTTGAGCGAGTCACCCTCTCCACCCACGTTCTCCTCCTCCTTTCCGACAGCCCAAATCTGGGGCGGGTGTGTGTGTGTGTGAGTGGGGTTGCAGGGAAGGATCCCCGAGTGGTTTACTCGTTGGGGCGGCCTGGACTGCCAGATGAGAAAAGGTGGAAAGCAGCACCCCACAAGTCTGCATGAGGTCCGTTAGGATCAGGCAGCCTCGCTGGAGCACCAGCGTTGTGGTGAAAGCTGCATTAGGAGGTCCCAAAGATGCTTTTTCAGGAGGCAACTTGGACTTCCTTGTTTTTCTTTGAAGACGTTTCGCTTCTCATCCAAGAAGCTTCTTCAGCTCTGACTGGGTGGTGGGGAAATGGAAGGATTTATATCCGCGCCGTCCAGTCAGAACTGAAGAAGCTTCTTGGATGAGAAGCAAAATGTCTTCAAAGAGAAACAAGAAAAAACATCTTTGGGATAACTATGGCTTGATGACTGAGACTCTCCATAGACCTCTACATCAGGGGTAGTCAACCGTGGCTCTTTTATGACTCGTGGACTTCAATTCCCAGAATTCCTGAGCCAGCTTCTGGGAGTTGAAGTCCACGAGTCATAAAAGAGCCAAGGTTGACTACCTCTGATCTACATTATGAGGACATTTCACAGTGAGAACAAATGGAGAAAATGTTTCCTTAGTTCCAGGTTGCTTCTCGCCTCGCTAAGCTTCCATCGGTTGCTTCTTGTCCTGACTTCAGGGGCTTTGGAGAACAGGTGGACCCCCTTTTCTTTATGGCAGCCCCTCAAAACTTGGAGCCCGGCTATCACGTCTCCCCTAGTCCTTCTTTTCAGTCAACTAGCCATTCCTAATTCCTGCAAATATTCTTCGTATATTTTATCTCCAATATCTCAGGGGCTGCCACAAAGAAGAGGGAGTCAAGCTCTTCTCCAAAGCGCCTGAAGGCAGGACAAGAAGCGACGGATGGAAACTGATCAAGGAGAGAAGCAACCTAGAACTAAGGAGAAATTTCCTGACAGTTAGAACAATTAACCAGTGGAACAACCTGCCTCCAGAAGCGGTGAATGCGCCAACACTGGAAGTTTTTAAGAAGAGACTGGACAGCCCCTGCCTGAGCAGGGGGTTGGACTCGATGACCTCCAAGGTCCCTTCCAACTTTATTATTACTATTACTATTACTATTACTATTACTATTACTATTACTATTACTATTACTATTATTATTATATTACTACTACTACTACTACTACTACTACTACTACTACTATTATTATTATTATTATTATTATTATTATTATTATTATTATTATTATTATTATTATCTTTGTTGCTCTTCTCGGTACTTTTTCCAAAGTCCCGACCTCTTTTTCTCACAGTGATGAAGAAGAGGAAGAAGAAGGATATACCGCTAAAAATTCTACTGGGCCAGCCACGTCCATCGTGATCCTAATCATTTGGAGATCAAAACACACATGTGGACCTCTTTTTCAACTTTATAAGAGGATTCCAAAATCTTCTCTGTCTTTTTCAAGTTCAAAAGGAGAAATCCAGGATTAAGTGACTCTGAAACAGCCTCTTCAAGATGGGGATGATAGATTGAAGCATAAGGGACTCAAACTGCTTCGACGCACAAACAGATCTACACGCACGTGGAACAAACGTGCTCGCTTCCCTGCCCCTTCCCATCAGTTGCTTCATGAGATATTCAGCAATTAACAAATGCAAGTAGTCCTCAACTGACAACCGTTCGTTTAGCGACCGTTCAAAGTTACAACGGGACTGAAAAAGATGACTTACGACTGGTCCTCGCATTTACGACCGCCGCAACAACCCCAGGATCACGTGATCAAGATTTGGGCATTTGGCAACCATGCATTTATTTACATTTATTTATTTACGTAAATGCATTTATCTATTTATATCCTGCTTTTATTATTTTGACAGGTATTTATGACACGTTGGTCAAATTTTGGACTATCAGCTCTTTGGAGTTTGTATATGGGGGAGTTTTTTTATAAAAAAAAAAAAGTCAAAGGGATGTGGCTTTATTGTGTGCTCATCTTGACTTTTCTGACTGCCCTGGAAAATGCCTCTGGGTCTGCCCTGCGGCCCTTCACCAGATCCCTAAAAGGACCGTCCATTTCAGCTCCGGATCCATCCCATATTTCGTATGGTTTTGCTTTTCTCTCTTGCCAAGTCCCCCGCAGGAGTGAAGTGACTCCGGGAAAAGCGAAATTAAAAAAAAAAATCAGGCTCCATTTTCCTTGTCAAATTAGGGGCAATTTGAACAATTGGTCTCCCTCCAGAGGTTTAATAAAGCAGTGACTGATTAATCAGCATGACCTTAATCGGGGTTTTTTTCCCCCCTAACAAAGTCCCAGGAAGAGACTCGCTGTCGGCAATTGAAAAAACCCCAAAACAAAAACCTGCTGCTAATTCTGCTAATGCAATTGATTAGGACCTTGCCCCCCCCACCCCAGACAGAGAGGGTAATTAAGGGGGGGGGAGCCCTGGCCGATAACTCTCTGCAGTCTGTGTGTGTTTGTGTGTGTATGTGTGTAGGTGGGAGTTGAAGACTGCAGTCATGCAAGATGTAAAATGATGATTCTTCGGTTCCAGCAAAGGAAGGAAGGAAGGAAGGAAGGAAGGAAGGAAGGAAGGAAGGAAAAGGAAAAGAAAAGAAGGGAAGGAAGAAAAAGAAAAAGAAAAAGAAAAAGAAAAAGAGAAGGAAAGAGGGAGGGAGGGAGGGAGGGAGGGAGGGAAGGAAGGAAGGAAGGAAGGAAGGAAGGAAAGAAGGAAGGAAGGAAGGAAGGAAGGAAGGAAGGAAGGAAGGAAGGAAGGAAGGAAGGAAGGAAGGAAAACCGCCAGCATATGCTGACTGAGCTAGGACATTACTCTTAAATATTATAGACAAATATTCTTGGAATAGTGGCATAATGGTGGATAAGGAGCCCGACTTCTCCCAAAATTCTTCTTGAAAAACATCTGCCCACCACGTCTTATGATAAATCATCCTGCCTGGCATATTTCCTTTCAACTGGTCAAAGAGGCCAAGGCTTTTTCTCCGGGACCCCTTTCATACAAGCTTCTAGTCCTCATTGTAAAAACGCAAACACATGAAGCGGCAGGCATCCTCCCCCGCTCAAGCCCCTCTTTTATGGGGCAAAATACCCGAGCCATTTCGGACCCCAACCTTTTTTTAAACTGGGACACCGGACCCCCAGATGCAGGGGAGCAGAGCTGCCCCCCGTTTTAAAAAGTTGTTTGCAGCCTCCATTTTGCAATGGAGCCTCCATGACGAAGATGAGTTCCCTGCAGATTTGGGGTGCCTTCCCCCCCCACCTGAGCTGGGGTGGAAAGAGAGAGTAAGAGAGGAACAAAATGCCTCCCCCCCTCTCCCCCAGACCCATCTCCTTTAGTGCTGGAATCTGCTGTTGAAAAGGGGGGGGCATGAAGGGAGGGCTCCCCCCTCCCAACCCATCTCCCCCAAAACAATAGACAGATGTTATCCCTATTGCTCAGCACCCTCGTTATTGGGCTGGTAATTACCCCGGAGCTAATGATAGTAATCAGAAAATGCCGCAAGCCGTATTCTTCCCCGGCAGTTAATTTATTTAATTACACATTTTGAAGCGGCATTATTTAAATGGCGATTTATTGCCTGGCTAATCAATGCCATTTTGCCTGGGTAAGGGGCCGCGGGCAGGCGGGTCCAGGGCGGTGGGCTGCGCTGCCTGTGTGCTGGAATGGAGCATTCAATTGGCCAGGCTGGACAGGGGCTGGGCAGGGGGCTGGACTAGATGGTCTCCAAGGGTCCCCTTTCTGTGAGTTCTCTTCCTGATAATTTCCAAATTGTGAAGAAAGAGGCTGGACAGCCGGTCCTCAACTTAACAGCAGTTCATTTAGTGACCGTTCAAAGTTACAACGGCACCAAGAAAAGTGACTTATGGCCATTTTTCTCACTTAACGACCGTTGCAGCACCCCCAGGGTCACGTGATCGAAATTCAGATGTTTGGCATCCGACTCATAAGCGGTGAATGCTCCAACACTGGAAGTTTTTAAGAAGAGACTGGGCAGCCATTTGTCCGAAATGGTATAGGGTTTCCTGCCTGAGCAGGGGGTTGGACTAGATGACCTTCAAGGTCCCTTCCAACTTTACTATTATTATTATTATTATTATTATTATTATTATTATTATTATTATTATTATTATTATTATTATTATTAT